CTATTTACCAGTGAGAAATAACTACATCAGAATTACGATCAATATCACAAGCGAGATCGTTTATTGCCTCTTAATTCTACAGTTAGTGTTTATGTGTTTCACACTTTTCCGATTTGAGGGAGGCACAGCGTAATCAAACATAACCACCCTTCTCCCTGGGCACCAACAGGTTGGCATAGCCCACTGTCTTTCACTCCTTCGCTTTCAAACATTTTTGGAGATCCGGAAATCAAGTTTGCTGCGACATCCCTGACGCACACAGCGAGTCGGAACCCTTTTAATCTAAGGCGGCGACCTCCTCGAAAGGAGTACCGATCTTTTCAAGGTTCAACGCTCAAGGAGAGCGGAACTAAAGGCTTGACCCTCGGTTTGGGCGCGACGGGACTCTAGTTGCCCCGACGTCTGCCGCGTCGGAAGCACACAGCATACAAATCTTACGAGATTTGCTTGACCTGGTACCACTACCCCGCAGAGGCCAACCTAAATTGGGATGTCAGAAGAGAGACTCAGCCAGGACTGCCAGAGGAAATTCCTAAGACGATCAACCAGCTAAGTCTCCCCTCCTGGGCTCGCGTTCGAAGGTCATCCCACCATGCGTTCCTGTATTAAGGGATTTCACCCACGACTCACAGGTCCATCGCTTCGACGTACCGAGGCACGTCTTCCCATCGCGTTTCGGTCATCCCCGCTCACGCTGGTGGGTGCCCGTTATTCGAAAAGGTTGTGTCCTGATTTTTCCCCGAGTCTCGGATTTCGCTTTCTATGGAAGGCTTTTATGACTCGCTGATATTGATCTCTGCTCTTTCGATTAATTTTCTGACTTGTGTCAGGGGCGGGGTCTCGCCTAGCCGACAAGGCGACTCCCCAGGCAGTTTTAAATATTTGTGCCAGTCATGCCACTCATTTGAATCAATTTCCGAGATCCAGGCTCAAATCAGGTGTTTTAGCGTTCGAAATTAGCGTTCAAATTGTGTTTTCTCACACAAAGGTGTCGGGCCTTACTCCCGGAGCTCGAGGCAAAGAACTTTGGGTGGCTGCTATGACCACGGCCACGACTCTTTATCCACAATAGTGGCACCTACCGATTGCCAGTCGGTAGGGAGTAATTTCTTATCTACCCGAATTAAATTCGGATTGCCGGGACCATTGGTCCTCTGCAACTAGCTTCCGGAGCGGTCTCCCATCCTCTAAGAGGGCGCGCGGTACCACAATCCCAAGAGATTTCCCCTCAAGTGAATCCCGGATTTTGGCTTTTCTGGGCTCGAGTTGAGCTCTTGGGGTGTGGTAGACTCCGCGATGAATGTTTGGGCGTTTACAGGTCGCACCTCACCACGTGTTGTTATGGTCCGTGTTATTTCTTTTGTTTGGCTGATTGGCCTTTTGCCCTAGGGGCAAGCGTTGTGTGTTTTGCCTACTGTTTCTTTACTGAAACAGCGTTTTCAGCCCCACCACGTGAAGGTACACACATCCGCACTTGTGATTGCAAGTCTTCGTTCAAATACACATTGCATTCACTTCGGGTCGACTAGCATTAGTTGCTTGTCGAGGGCAATCGGTGACACATTTTGTACTTCAGCATTTGCATTTGCATATGCCCGTACAGGTAAGAGAAGTTTACGACATCCTCTCCTAAAACAACAAGTTGTTTGTTTGAGAAGTTTCCACTCTCTGTAAAGGAAGACAATTACTGTCCGCCGCTTTGACAAAAGATTTTTACACAAAGTGACCTGGCCAGCCTCGCGGCTGGCCATATGGTACGTCATCGTCGTCATCTATGTTTTTGCTAATCGGATTATAATCGAGCTTCCTGAGAGCGTCGTGATCGCAACCGCCCTCTTAATTCTACACTGTGTTCGGCCCGCGTGTTTATGTTTACAAAGAGCGCGCGAGACAATAACATGCAGAGTCGGATCGCTCGCCACTCTTTGTTCGCCGAGTTATTACATGCACGTTTCTTATTGAGTACGAGAGATTAGCTATTAGCAATTCTACTACGATCGCGAAATTAAGCTGGCCAGCTTACCTTGTTAGCAGTCGCACGGAGAACGAAAGAAAAAGATCGTGATAACGTCTCGGGGAAATCTGCGTCTGATCGAACGGTTCACGCTTTTGGTTTCGCCCTCAATGGCGAAACCCCGCACTCACGCTCACTTGCACACACTCGTCTCGGTTATGCGAAGGCACGGCTCCTGTCGCTCCTTATCTACTCGTCTCTGCACTCCGGAAAAACTCGGGAAAAACTTTCTTTCTTGGTTGATTGCGGCTGGAGGTATCGGTAGCTAATCCTCGACTAGTTCATTTTCATACGCGCGCGTTCCGTCTCGTCGCGTGCCGAATGCCCTCGTCACCTTTGCCTCAACCGGTAGGTGCTGCCCTCGCAGGCAGCCTCATGGTTGGGCTGTTAGCGCTAATAAGACGTTTACCGTCACAACCCATAGAAGTAAATTCAAAAATATGTATTTAACATCAATTTCCAAGTGAAGTCGATATTAAATTAAAAAGAATTCGGTTTATATTTGTTAACTAAATAAAATAAATTTACAGCTTATAATGTATAAAAAAGCATTTGCCACAAAAGTTACTAAATAAAAACCAATTAATAATATTAAAGACAAAAAATGATTTCTAAAATACGTTATAATACCTAAAAACTAGAAAAAATATATAAACCAAAAAGATATAAATTACATCAATAAATAATAGACAAAAAAGAATAATAATAACAAAACAACAATTTTAACAACTAAATTACATTAACTAAATCATAAATACAAATCTAAGTAGTCGTATATACGCTTTCTTTTTTCCTTTCATCAATGAATTATGTAAAAAGATTGAATTAAATATAAATTGATAATATTAAAATTTTGTCAAAAAGTACATTTCTTACCTACTTAATAAGTTATAACAGATGTAATATATCTGTTATAAGAAGTAGTAGTAGTTATTTTGAGAGAAAATCGTTCCAATATACTTACACGGATCCAAAGGATCAGATACGTTCGGAGAACATTAGTCGCTTTGTTATGTATAGCTAAGGAATGTCTCGCCAATATCACGCCAATATACGCTATTATTACTGCTTCTCTACCGTTTCCTCTAAAGCTACGGTAAAATAGTTCTTCCACACAAGGTAACTCACCGCAAGTTATCACATACATAGCACCAATACACTAGCACACTATCAGACCATCCATCGGATCATTACTCATAAGAAGGTAAAATTTGTACCTACCAAATTATGTAAGTCGACTGAGTGTAGCGATCGAAAACAACAGTGATAAAATTAATTTAATTGAACATGAGTGACCCACTTATTTTGGAAGCTAGCTAGACATTTTATCTTGCTTAAATTCTATGTTCAATCGTTAGAGTTAAGTTCTAAGCTTTGTATTCTTTAATTAAAGTGAGATCATAATTCATAACAGTCTTACTTTTATTTGCCTGTTTCATTTTTCTTTCGAAGTCCTGTCAAAAGCTATCATACTTATCACTCAAAGGGAAAGGTGCTTACCGAATTATCCCAATCATAAAGGTAACATTTTCAACTTAACTAAATGTAAGTCTATTGATTACTAATACACATATGTTATATAAGCATAACTGCTATAGTGCCATTTCCCTTCCTATTAATTCCTCACTCCATTTCGCGCATTATCTCTTTGTCGGTTTGATCGAAATAATTATCTATCTTAACAGGATCGATTACATATTGGGCCGAGAAATTTTACTTTAACTTTCACATTAACTAACTCTTGGTCTAGATACTATACATGGATGAGTGATGACTGAGTGGTCTCAGTCGACTATTATTTCAAATGAAAAGATTATATTGTTAATATTAGATATCGCTGTAGTCTTTCCATGGATTTTCAGTGAAAATTAAAGTTTTAACACTGAAGTTAAAAATGAAAATTTAATTATTTAAACATGTTGAATTCTCATCGTAATTTAATAGACATTTAACTGTCTTTGTGAATGATTGAATATTTAGATTAAAATTATATATTAAACTCATGTTTCTTTAAAGGTTTTGTGTAAAGCTGTTTTCTATATTTCGAATAAAAAAATTTTCGTTCAAACTTAATCTTTTTTTAAATAAATTGGATAAATCATAATTTTAATAAGTTAGAGGACTAGGTCCATTACGTACAGATAACGTTTCTAAACCATGTAATTCTATAAGAATTTTTAAAATTTCTTCATTTAAGATAATATTTCGTTGATTGAATAAGAGCATAAAATAGCATTTATTAGAAAAGAAGATAATTTTACGAAACTAAATATAATTTTACAAAAATTCGATTGAAAAATAACTGGCCCAAAGTATTTTACATAAAATGTTTTTCTACGAATAATTAAATGGTTTAATGAATTGTATTTTTAAGAGTCTACTCATTGTTAAAAAATTAAATTAAATGTACGATTTACTGTGTAAAATATTTTATGCCAATTAATATATGCTAACTTTTTGTTGAATAAGATATAATGTGAAATATTATTTTATTTGTTAAAAAGCTAATAATTCATTTTATGGAAAATAATAACTTCTTGTGGAAAAAGATGATTGAATGTTGATGCATTATTCAAATTATATTTTCATCACCATTCATCAAACATTCAATTTGTTAAGATTTCGATTACATTATTATTAAAACTTTTCCTCTAAAAATCTATGTACTTTTATGTGATCACTTACATTATTTGTAGAAAAAATATTGATTAATAAATGTAGAAGTTGACTGAAAATATAAAGTTTCATTATAATAATGATAGCATTTAAGTGTAACTGCTGAGATCGAATAGCAGTACCTGTTTGACTAGGGAAACGATACATTTTACCACAATTCACTATGGCGAAAAAGAAGTGAGTTATATAGAAAATTTTTTTATCATATAATCGTTGGCTACGTCAGTGAGAGTGCTCTTAAAAGTGACCACGCTGGTGGGTATTGAACAATAAAGGGAGAGTGTAAGAAACTAAACGACCGTCATTCAGTAAACAGGACAGTGAATGGAAGTTGTGACTGAAAGTTTCGATCCTCGACTTACCAAACAAAAGTTTTAAAGCTCTTTCAAATATATAGTTAAATAGATACTTATTCCATATCTCTGTTCAAATTTACCGTCAAAGTTTGTATTTATCTTATTTATGTACATTTTTTATTAGAAATATATTTTGGATAATATATATGCATTTCATAATAATTGAATTTTATGTTTTACATTTTATAATTGTAATTTTTTTTTAAATGTGAAACGGACTATGTGAAATAATTTATATTTAACATGAATATCTTATAAATACAAGAAGTTTTTGATTTTGTTGAATAATGTATTTTATTATATTGGAATAATATAGAACTTCTCTAGACTAACTGTAACTAGTAACTAAATTCTATCTAAACGTATAGATCGAAATTCTCGAGTATACAGAGGCTACTATAATTAATATAAGATTTTATTAGTGCCAAACTAAACAAAAATAAATACTACTGCAAAATATTCTTTATTATTACTATTAAGTTCATTTTGCTTCATGACTAATATATATAATTTCAGTAATTAACCATATACAATTTTTTAATTCTAGTAGTTTAAGTATTTGTTGGAAATCGTATTCGTGAATCTCAAATATCATAATACCAGTTTTGAAACTAGTATATTTTAATTAAATTATTTTTAAACGCATTATAGTATTAAATATAGTTATATTCTCCTGGCTTATTCTGATTTTCGATGATGTACATACAATTCATTTGTAAAAAATTTCAAATAATGCCATGGTCTTATACACATGATCACGCAAACCATAGCAAACAAATGTTTACAATTTAAATGATTAATTAGTTAGAATATACTCTTCAAGATTTTTCTCACTATTAGTGTACATAGAGAGCGCGAGCGGGAAAAGTTTAGATGATGAGCTGACAAAAAAGTGGCTAATTAATATTGTGTCTTAAACCTCGAAGACTCAGAAAATCACTCACAAAAAATGAAATCTTCTTCTCTCGACCTTTTTTACGGATACATAATTTTTATTTACTAATATATATTTTTATTTATATACTGAGCAACATTTTTCATTTATAAATCATTGAAAATAAATATTTACGTTAGTTGTGATAAATAAACTCCAACAGTATTAGTGAAGCTATAATAAATGATTACGTATAATATATCGTTTTCATAAACTAGTATCTTATAGAACAGAGAACTTTGATTTTCGTAAATTCAATTAATACAGGTTATAGATACAAACAACGGTAGATATGAAATATGGATATTTGAGAATCAAGTGTTTTCCTCGTCTGTTATGGTAAATGTGACCATGACTTACCATCTCAAAAATTGCGAAACGCCTCCATCAAGACAGAAAGCAATGACGTTAATGCAATGTTTTCCTTCAGTATCTAATTAAATATAAAATTTTAATTGAAGTGCCCGCTTTTTATATTTAACAGATAATTAAATCTATAATGCCGACTACCAAACCAATTATTCAAAAAATTGTAGATAATTTAAAACATAATGTAACATAATAGTATTTGATTTTAATTAGTATAGAAAACAGGAAAAATAATTATTAAAACAGAATTATGAATCTGTATAAACAGAACTTTGAATCTGTAAAACTAACATGACCAGATACTTATATGCAGGCGGTTGAATTGGCAGAGAACGTGAAAAATCATTTTCTGACGGTTTGCAGCACAAATGAAATTAAATATTCTATTCTTTCAGATCTTAACTTACTATCACATTCATCGTAGCAGAGAAGAAAGACACTTCATTTTCAAAGATCTACGTTTCTTATCTGCCCGCTGTTGAAAAAGTTCAGTTGAAAATTCAAGCTAAATTGCTAAATTTATACATGAATATCCAACTAGCTATCTAAGAAAATTTCTATGGATTCCACATGGCCTTGAATTGGATTTTCAGGATGGATTTCTATGTGAAATCTAGGCAGATTTATTTGATAAATCCGAGTAGATTTCGTATAAAAAAAAACAGAGTTTATAATACTATTCATAAAAATCATCTCTTTTGTCGAATTTTTATTTTTAATAATTATTAATTAATTTTAATAATTATTTTTAATCATTATTTTTAAAATATTAATGTCTTAATAGTAACCATATACCGCTTATTTTTTTCCATTAATATTAACGGAAAAAAAGTAATCTGAGTGTGGTTCGAACTCAAAACTTTTTGCACTTTGTCTACATTTTCTACTGTCTAAGATATTTTTTAATTTGTTAACTTATTATTAATATATCTTATTTTTAATATACTATATAGTATATACTTCCTGTACTTAGCAAATTTCTACGTTTTAACTTTATTTATATGTATTACTTAATTGATTGAACAGAATTGTACACGATAGCCTATGAAAGTAATTAATATAAACATAAATAAATCTTAGTCACAGTTATAAACACAAAATATATTATTGAAAAAACTTTGGAGATTTACGATTACAGTACAATTTCCTTTAATATCAGGTGCAATTTTTTTTTCATTAAATTCAATAATTTTTAGCTGTAATAAAACTTAATAGAATATTGACAAGTTTATTTAAAATAAAATTGTAATTAGTATAGTTATATTTCAGTTACATGGTAATTACTGATTCTATTAATTTAAAAATAGCTCTGACGGTTGAATGATATTGTAAAAATAAACATTTTGTGGCCTAAAAATTACAAGTATGCTTGTAATAGCTTCAATGAATGAATTATACTTAAATTAGATTTGTTAGTTTCTTAACTACTTACTACTCTTTTTAAATACACTATGTTAGTATCAATTTTATTTAAATATCAATAAAAATTTCTACAAAATAGTAAGTTATGTCAATTATTTATTTGTTATTTAATTCATTGCAATTAAATTATTTTTATATTGATTTGCTCACTCTCAAAATCTTCGAAACAAACACAGTTTTACGAAATAATGCAGTATAATAAGAAATTAAATATGTTTGATACTTAAGAGACAATTAAATATTTTTATTTTCAATAAATTACATAAAGAAACATAAATCAAATACTAACAATAAATTACTAATTATTATTTATGATATATCTGTAATATTTTACGTAACTATTTACTTTGTAAAGTTTTTTGTAATAGCGATTGAATGTAAAGATTTATATAATCATTTATACAACAAGACTATAAGTAAATTGTAAGAAATTAGTAAGAAAACAAATATTATTATCATATTTGAATTGAAACTATTACAATAAAACATTCATACAATCTTTTACTTTGTTGAAAATGTTTTTTTTACAATACCACACTTTGCTCGAGCTATTTTTTAATTGACCAAACAAAACGGTAATAATGGAATTTATATATCTACCATGTAACTGAATAACATAATACTAATTTCTTTTTTATTTAATTAGAGGAAAGTTATAAATATATTCTATGAAGATTCGATACCGCTAAAAATTGCAAAATTGTATGGAAGTACTGTAGGCATAAACCATCAACTTGATTATAAATTTATATTTTATATGGATATAACTCCTTCTGAGAATTATGTTGTATTGTGTATGGTTTTGATCAATAATAACAGTAATATATACAAACGCAATCTAAACGTGCAAATAGGCAAGGTACATGATATATGCTATTGAATCTAAGATGAGAAAATAGAACAGATGTTAATGAATGAGACTAAAGAGCAAGAAGTTGTAGGTCCGAGCCGAGTTCGAAACACTTGTTTATTTTTATTCCTATTATTATTAAGATTTTAATAAATTAAAATGGTATTAAAAATAATGCTCAAGTAAAAGAGGAGATTTTGAAAAATAATGTAATAAAAATTCACATAGATTTAACGAAAAATCAGCTTAAACATTCCATCTGGAAATCTATCCTGACAAGTAACCCTACCCAAGTGTCACTCACCGAATTTAACCAAACTTGGCACATCGTTAGAGCACTAAAAAATATTGAACCCGTGTTTTTTTATTTTGGCCGAATCCACTGTTAAGGGGTAGAAACCACCCCTAATAACCCCTAACTAGGCTAACCCACCTAACTCTGGGTAGAGCGAGTTTGATTAATTATTTTTTCACAAGAAAGTTAACTTCTCAACCCGGATAGGCTAACCCATTTATAACCTGATATAACCGATCCCCACAAATCACTATATCCCTTATACACCATCCCTATCAACCCCTAAGCAGGCTAACTCACCTAACCCTGGGTAGAGCGAGTTTCATCAGCTGCTTTTCTGTAAGAAAATTAAGATCATAACTACTGATAGGCCAACACAACCTTAACCTTGATATATCTTATCCTAAAAAACCCGTTAAATCCTCATAAATCACCCCTATCAACCCCTAAGCAGGCTAACCTACCTGGCCCTGGGTAGAGCGAGTTTCATCAGCTGCTTTGCTGTCAAAAAATTAAGATCATAACCACTGATAGGCCAACACAACCTGAACCTTGATGTACCTCATCCGCACCAATCCGCACAATCCTCATAAACCGCCCCTCAATTTCCAAGTATTAAAATGCTTCTATCTTTCAATACATAAAAAATATAAAAAACTTAATTTAAATTAACCTTTAAGGTGTACTATCCTAAAGCTTCAGTTTGGTACACTGTGGATGTATTTACGGTCTCTTTTACAATTCGTATCTTGATTTAATTTTCTATTTTATTAAATTTAAATATATTTTATATTTTATTAAATATAATATTTTTTAACAAAAGTAAATTTTTCTGGAAATATGACAAACATTTTTTTATTAAAGTATAAATATTATATTTAGAGATTTACAAGATCAAAAGTGAATTTTTCACACATTTTTCAATTTTACATCCGGGTATTTTAGTCCTGTATGTACCTTCAGGGTTAAGTTTACGCGCAATCAGATGATATTAATTGATTCTAAGGAATAATATCGAAACGTTAACCTTAAGCATCATTTAAAATACCTATACCAACTAAAAACAGAACATAATTTAAATTTATCTACGATCATTTTTTATATCAACTTATAAGAAATAAATTCAAAGAGAAACAGAAGAACCGTGTGGAATAAATAATTTGATAACTTACGAGTATCTTTTTCTTTCTTTTTATTCAATAATAATTCAAATAGCC